CCCCAAACCCTAAACCCTCAACGCTGGGGGTTTAGCTTTGGTGGGCTTCGACCTCGGCGGCTTGCAGGTCGACTCTTGGTGCTTGGGGCATGTGGGTAGCTAGCTTCCGACTCCAAATATCAGAGATCTACAGTAGAAGCTGAAGCCAGAAGTCTAGGACTATATAGGGTTTAGGGTTTAGGGTTTAGGGTGTAGGGTTTAGTGTTATATAGGACTAAAGTAGAAGCCCAAGAGTTGGAAACCCAATAGCCTCAATCCTTCAGAGTAATGCATAAGGAATCCCAGCACTAATTGTCCTTATTCCGGTTTCCAACTTTTTAGGGTTCCCTATATATTTTTGAATGGTAATGGGGTCCCCTTTTAAACTCTTCTAGACCCCGTTTAAAGGAGCCCTGGAGCATGGATCCGCGCCTTTTGGGCGATCCCGTCCTTAGCTGAAGGGGCTTTGAGCATAATGCCCAGGGTTTCGGGTTTGGGGCTTCGGGTTTCGGGTTTAGGTTTTCGGGTTTGTCGAAATTGTATGCGGTTTGGGTCCGGTGTTTTGACGGAGCAGTTCGCAGCGAAATTCACACAGTATCTATGTATCTAATTCTTGAGTGTTCAGGGTTTCGGGCTTAGGGCCTAAATGATCAGAGCAGGGCTTTGTGGGTACATTGTGATGTATTTGCCCCTAGACCCTAAACCCTAAACTCCTAAACGTAGGGCTGAAGGGCTTAGGATTTAGGGCTCACTGGTCCAGGGTCGAGGGTCTTTGGGTTACGGGTTGAGCTCCGTGGTTTTTGGTGTTTAGGATGGTTGGGGTTTAGGGTTCTAGCGTTTAGGGTGTTGGGACGTTTTGGTCTTAGATGTTGGGGTTTACGACTTCAGGCGGAATGAAGATATGGCTTGCAACACATCTTGAGTTTGGACCCGATGCACAAGCCACTAAACTCGGTTCAATCATGTGTCAGGGTTTTGGTTCGGGTCTAGGACCCCAAACCCCTAAGCCCCTAGACCCCACACCGTAAACCGCAAACCCCTTAACCCTCAACCCTAAACCCTAAACCCTACACCTCAAACCCTAACCCCTTATCATCTAAACCACAAGGAACCCAATACCCCTAAACTAAGGAATCTACCTCAAATCATAATATGTGGGCCTCTATAATTTAAGGTATATTCCTTAATTAAGGGGTATTGGGTTCTCTGGGAAAGCCCTGAACCCCGAAACCCTAAACCCTAAAGCCCTAAAGCCCTGAACCCTCAAGTCCCTAAAGCCCTGAACCCTCAAGTCCCTAAAGCCCTGAACCCTAAACCCTAAAGCCCTAAACCCTAAACCCTAAACCCAAAAGCCCTGAACCCTCAAGTCCCTAAAGCCCTGAACCCTAAACCCTAAACCCTAAACCCTAAACCCTAAAGCCCTAAACCCTAAACCCTAAACCCTAAACCCAAAAGCCCTGAACCTTCAAGTCCCTAAAGCCCTGAACCCTAAACCCTAAACCCTAAAGCCCTAAACCCTAAACCCTAAACCCTAAACCCTAAACCCAAAAGCCCTGAACCCTCAAGTCCCTAAAGCCCCTAAACCCTAAACCCTAAACCCTAAAGCCCTGAACCCTCAAGTCCCTAAATCCTGCTCTTCCCACGCCCGAGCATCGATGTTGAGCGCGCGAAACCCGGGGTAGCAGGCCCGGACGGCGTCGCCGACTGCTTTGGCAAAGCGACCTGGAGAAATTCTTGGAGTTTAGGGTTTAGGGCTTAGGGTTTAGGGTTTTGAACCCCTAAGCCATCATATTCTACAATATACCTATTCAATAGTTCGAGTATCATATTGTAAGGCTATATCACGAATAATTTAACTTATCATATTCTACAATATACCTATTCAATAGTTCTAGTATCATATTGTAAGACTATGTCATGAAATAAACTATCCTATCATAATATTTATGATAGTAACTATAACTCTATCCTCAACTAAATGTAAGAGCTTCGGGCTTGGAGTGGAGAGGTTAGAGTCGGACGTGCAGAGACAGCGGGTCGGTCAAGAACATGTCCGGCTGTGGCCATGCCCTTACAGGGATCCTCAGGGTTCCTTTAGAAGGATCCTTAGGAATAGGGTTTAGGGTTTAGGGTTTAGGGTTTAGGGTTTAGGGTTTAGAGTTTGAGTGCCCTAGCCCAAAAAACGGCCAACCTTCCCAAAGATGGTAGGAGTATATAAACCCCAAAAGGGCTGAGAGGTAAGGGCTACCTACTCAGCTACTAAGTGCCAATGGGGATGCTGCCCACATCGGAACCCATCTTGCTGATGCTTGGGTTTGGTGGTGACGATAGCAATGATGCCGGACATGATGGCGATGATGAGTATGAGAATGAGGTCAGCACTAGGCACCAAAACAGCGTCAGCTGAAGCACTCGAACCAGTTGCAGTCGCGCTTGTAGATCCATGCTGTTATCGGTGGTTTTGTTTATCGCCTCTGCATTGCTTTTCTCACCGTCAGTGCTTCGTTTCCACTTTGCATCATTTATGCACCTCGTATGGCATGCATCTGTGTAAAAGGAAGCATGTTCCCGATGGCTCCTCCTTGCACAGGATCTCTTAAGAAAAGGCCGCAACGTGGGCGTGATTTGTAGAAATTCCCCTTAACCCTAAACCCTAAGCCCCCCTATAACCCTAAACCCTGAACCCTAATCCTAATCCTCAATCCTAAGCCCGTCTGTAGGCACCGGACGGCCAAAGCCGCAGTCGAAGACCCTAAGGACCCCTGACAAAAGAGACAACTATAGGGGCCTCAATGATTAGAATAGGGTTTTGGGGCCCGTTATACTATAATTATAATAACGAACCCCCAGAATACTAGTGGTAATTATCAAGCCCCTATATCAGGGTGTTTTGGTTTGGGCGCGCGGACCGGGGACTTTATGATTCAGGGCTTCGGTGGTGGGGGCGTGGTACGGTGGATAACAAATATCCTGCATTACCCATAATAAGGAATATACCATAACTCCCCTAGTTTAGGGTCCTTAAGGGAAATGCAGGATTAAGATCATCAACAGTATTTTGGGGGTTCCTTATCATAAGTATAGTATAGTGGACCCCAAAACCCCATTCCAAATTTCTTAGGCCCCTACTTTACACCCCAGACCCCGAACCCTGTGAAACGCGATATTCCTATCTTCGGTCTCCGCGGTCTTCAAGTTACATTCTGAACACCGAGCCCCAAGCCTCTGATAGAATCATCTGGGAGCTTCCGAAAAAGAAGGGGCACCTGAGTTTGGGGTCCTTACAATAAGGATCCTACTGTTTGGGGTACTATATTGGGGTCCCCTATTTTCGGAAACCCCCCTTTTAGAATCATAGAACACTTGTAGACCCCAAGGCCCTCAAACCTACACTTAAAACCCTGGCCCTAACCCCAAACTGGAATATCAACTTGCTGCCACAGCTGCTCCGCCCACTCTGCGAGATCAACTCCCCCGTGCCCCTGTTTTGGGTGCTTCAGATGTTGCTCAAGATATTGGCCTTACATGGCCGTGTAGGATTTATAGGTTTTGGCTTGGGGTGGAGAGCTTTGTGATTTCGGAAGCTAGGGAACAATCTTGCACGACTGTGCTTCAATGTCCTTCATATCCTTCCCTGAGAGGCCATGGGTTCCAACTCGTCATGATTTGCCTTACTTGGAGGCCCAGAGGACTTAGTAAGTAGGTTGTAAGTAGAGTTCTAAGTACCCTAAATGGAGTTACCCTAATTATAAGCCTACTTATAACCGAATTACTATGTCTCCTGGGCCTCCAAGTGTAGGGGCCTAAATAATTAGCGATAATATTTTGAGGGTTCCTTATTAAAACTATAGTATAATGGGCTCCGAAACCCTATTCTAATTATTAAGGCCCCTGTACCCTAAACCTAAACCCTTATAGTAGCCCTTGTA